CTGTCAGGAAACTGTCATTAAAGAAAATACTTTTCTTTCTAACTAAAAACTGAGCTATCAAAAGACGATTGAAGACTAAATAGCTGAACAATTACAGAATAACATTTCTCAGTGTTTTTCTTTCAAGAGCAGAAACCTGAGTAATGTATAGTACTCTCTCTCTCTCTCTCAAGTTGCAGCTTGCCACCAACTTGACATTAGACAAGAACCAGTTTTTCTCAGTGTACTGCTCTTACCTCATTACTTCCAGAAGAACATAAGACATTCTGAGTTTGTTCAAACCAGGGCTCAGTGAGCTGTACCCTGCCTGAGGCCTGGTGCATACCCTGTGGCAAGCATGTTTGCCTCTGCCCCTAAGCCTCTCCTGAGGATAACCTACAGAGGGCAAAAAGGTAAAATCTTTCCCTTCCCCCAGCCCTGAGTTATTCTATATGTTGTATGTGAGACCCTTCATGTGTACTGGGTCTATATGCAGATAGCCAGTGCTCCATTCAACAGCTCTTTTTTCATGCAAGTATGTTCAAACTAAGAGCAGTAACATGAGCTCTCGCACTGTTTTTATTTGTAATAAAGCATTCACAAATTCCCTGTACAAAAGCTGTTTTCCTAACTCATCAGAAGTGCTACACTGCAAAAAGGGTAGCCCCAAACAAGAGAGGAGAGGAAGAGTATTGCCTTCCATTTTCCTTTTAAAATCATATTGATATTACACCTGGAGAGGCTGTTTATTCCTGGTATTGTTTTCACTGTGGTTTATGGGAGATTTGCCATTGACTTTCATAGGATCACACTGTCATTTCTATTCCAACACCTTTCTCTTTAATCTGCTTGTTTACAAAAGAGAAACTTTTGCCAGTCAACAACTTCAGGAAAGACAAAGGTAATGAAGAGATGTAGTGAGAGAAGTAAAATGAAATTTCATGCTCAACAACTAGATCAGGAATTTAGTAACAGAAAAAAACTCATTAGTAAGAAAAGTAATTCTGCTTGCAGTAAAACACAGTCATCTACACGGAAGCATGACACTAATTAACAATGATCAAGCTGGGATGCACAGTACAAAACATACAAGCAGCTCATAAAGGCAAATTCCTTCTCCCAGAAACAATTTACAGGCTGTTGAAGTCATTGGAAAAAACTTGAAGGCAGAGACTGATCAGCAATCCTAAATTTGTCTATTCTACAATGACAACATATAATAATACATACTGTACAGTGTAAAAAAACAGTATGAGTGCCAGGTCAGGTCTGTCCCTGCTGAAGCCCCACTTTGGATCCTGCACCAAAGAGAAGGCACCTCTGGTGCCTCAATTAAGGGCAGCCACCAGAACAGCTGCACACCTCTTTCTGCTAAATTGTCATGCCTGGAAAAAGGTATCCTGCCCATGCTAAAACCACACATACATGCCTTTCCTCCAGCAGCAGCTCCTCTGTTAGCACTTTCCACCAGCTGTGGTGTTCATGGGCAGTAAATCTCCCAAAAGCAAGACGCTGCGTACCATGGCTTGAGCCCAAAAATCCTAAAGAAACTCCTATCTTACTCACTGTCCCAGACACAAGGAAAGAAAGGTGAAAATGTCCTGCAATGTCAGAGCACAGCCAGGGAATCCACCCACCATCACCCAGCTGGTAACGCAGCCCGGGCTGGGCCACAGGCGCAGGCAGAGGGGGAAGTGGCGGCTGGCAAAGCCCGGACCCACTCCTCACCCCAGTCTCTGGAAGGAACCCCTGAGACACAGCTCTTACTGTTTCCATTTTGAAGGGGCAGCTTTCGTTTCTGTCCAGTTCCTGTTTGTTATTGTCCTCTTGCTGAGGCGGCTGAATGCCTTCGACTGACAGAAAGACTCCACTGATGTTGCAGCTGTAAAATCAACGTATTATGAAAGTTAGTAAAGCCTGAGGTTGGCAGTGGGCATGGCAAAGCAAAACACTTAGAACCAGCTCATTTTGCCAAAGGAATTAAGAGCATTAGCAGCACAAGTGTGAAAAAGCCCTTCTGGAGTTTCTGATGCACCACATAGATGTTTCCAGCCCATCTGGGAGGATGTCTGCAGTCCAGATTTAAACCTCATTTGGAAATCGTGCCTGTCCTATCCTATAAAGCAAACCAAAGTTATATAACCTACCGAGTATTAAAAAGTGCACTTCACAGTCTGAGCTTTTATGCACTCTGCTTTTCATTCCTAGTCCTTCTCAATGATATGAATTAATGAACTCTGGACTTTACTGTAGTAATCATAGAACATGACCTTGCAATTATAGTACTGCAGTATTGTTTAAAAATATGAGTGTCAGAAAAAAAAGATGCAGGCCTAAGCATAGGCCAGGCTTGAGTCCTAATCCTGCCTTTGCAGCTTTGTAATGGAGTTTTACATGAGGCTGGGGATTTCTGTGCCTGATTTTCTGCACCAGAAGGGTATGACTACTTACCTACTTGGTGGAGTCAGAAATGCTTAGGAATTTGTGGTCCCATATGTCTTTTGCAAGTTCTTCAGTGATTCCAAAGATGAAAAATAAGTTTTTCCACTACATGTCCTAACCACATGATTTTATTTTATTGCTAAGTTGAAGGTTTTCATTTTCAGATTCATCCAACTGTAAAATAACTATACATTTTGAAAAAATCAAAACAATGTACTTAATTTGTTCACGGTCAGCTTTGGTTAAACCTTAGTGGATTATTCATAAAAGCCTAGAACTGAATCCTGCTATTACAGTAGGAAAGGCAAAAGGCTATTGGAGACACAGTCTTTTATATCCTAGACAAAGACAACAAACTTTTTGTCCATCAGACCTGGCTCTTTTGAGTCACTAATTTTAAATGACACAGTGACTCTCAGGAAAGCATGGTCATTCTGCTCCAGAGAAAGGAGCTACAGCGTGACAGGAAAGGAAAAAACCATTAATATCAGATCCCTCCTGGAAATGAAATGCTTGCTCCACAGCATGAGCATTAAAAAAAAAATAACATGTACAATTTTAACCTCACTGAAGTCAATGGTTAACTCAACAGAGCTAGGCTTTTACTCAGCATGTTTGAATGAGTTATTAAACGAATTTTAGTTGTCCCTAAAAATAAATGTACTGTGTGGATCTAAGTGCAGCTGATGAATAAGAAACCTCAGGAATCTAGCAAATACTGTAGTTAGGGCTAAAACCAGATAGAGCACAGAAGGTTGCAGAAGACAGTAGCTATTAGTGGCCATCGGAGCTTTATGTTGAATCTCAAGGTCTCTCATGCCATCTGCCGGCTTTTTGTTTCCTAGCAGGGGTTTAAATCCTTTTCCTCCAGGTTTATTTGTAGGTCTGATACATTCCAGACACTTTTATACAAATTCTAATCAAGATTTGGGGTGGGTTTTTTTTTCCCCTCTAACCTCCACACTTGATTACTATGTAGTGGTTTGTTTTTTTTTTTCCTGTAAGTACATTACAATTCTGTACCTTTCCGAACACCATTTCACATTGTCTCTGGAGGAAAAAGACATTGCCTAAGACATTCTCATTTCTGTTATTGCTGGATAGGCAGTAATTACACTGCAAACAGGGCTGGGAGAACAGTTTACTAAGAAAATCCAAAGCTGTTCAAAAATAGCACTTACAGTTCTTCCTCAATCACTGTGAGAAGGTTGTTATTTGGGCACCTGAAAATGCTTTAATGTACAAAAAAATACCTGTTTTTTCCCTTGCAGTTCGCTTAGCCGTGATTCACAGTGAACACTTACATGTCCTAATATTATTAAGTTTACTTTCAGATGGGTTTTGGGAAACAGGAAGTATATATAGATAGATCTGAACACAGTACTTCCCTTCATTATTTGTAGCCTGTTTCTTCCTGACATCTCAGTTTCCTTTCCCTATCTGTGTCCACTGGCCTGTTCAGCTTCTCTCAGCAGGACAAACACAGGCACCTCAGCACACCCTCATCCATCTCCCAGCTGGGCACCGTGCCCCACTGAGAAGCTATTCAGGCAGCTTCAAAATTCACATTGCATCCCAAGTTAAAACATCAGCCTGCTGAAGCTTTTGGAGCTTTACAAACTTGCTCGCTCTCTTCTTTCTGTCCTTTCCTTCTGCAGTACCTTCCACTCATCTATGATTAC